TCTTCCATATAAGACTGCTCCAAAGAGGGGTCCCTCCGAGAGTCCTGCGCATGCTCCCTGCACTTTCGTGAAGGCTGTTCTTTGATTATAATCCTCCCCAAGAGTGCCTGCGCGCAGGTTGATGAAGGTCCAAGTTCAAAGATCCGTATCTGCATAGTCTGTAGAATCCTGGAGAATGACTGGATCTACTTCTGTGTTAGAATCCTTCCCGCTGAGATGCTGAAACTGCGTGGAGGACTGCTAACGCTAAGCTGGCATTCATTGAATCCTCCAGGCTTCTAACTGCTGATACTTCTGCTGGAAAAGATCTTCATGAACGTAACCGTTCGGTTCATCCGAGAGAGCTTGCATAGCGAATATTCCTTCGCGCAGGGCAACTGTCATCGGAGGGGTCTGCTATGCTGAGCTGACGTTAGTAGAGTTCTCCAGACTTCTAACTTCAGACGATGAAGTTGGACATTTCCCTATCTGAGGATCCATAATGACGTGAGTCTCTGTGTGTAGATCTATGTAGAGCTACGTGCAAGTGAACGGTCCCGGGTGTGACCGTGTATCCCTCCTGGAGTTTTGAGATATCTCTCTAGGCCTTCACAAAGGCTTATTGACGTAATCTCCCCTCTGTGAGATGTGGAGTCCCGTTGTGAGTCTAAGTCCGACGGTGATGACGATCCATACCTGCAGCGTCTGTAGGGTTCTGGAGAACGCTTCGATCTGCTTCTGTGTGGAGAATTCTAGAGGCTCCTTCGGGAATGTCTAAGGCTGAGCTGACGTTTGCAGCGTTGTCCAGACTTCTAGCTTCAGACGGTGAAGATCGTCAGGTATGTGGGCCCTCGCGCAGGCTTTCCTCTTCATCCAGGTGCGTTGAAGAAGCTGCTGAACCTTTGTGCAGGCTTGTAGTTGTCGTAGTGGTCTTCGTAGCAGCTTCCTCCTGCGCGAAGCGAAGTTCCATCATCGTCATCATTTGATCTGTAACTGTTGCATGCGACGTAAGTTGAGACTGCTGCAGGATTGATGATGCTTCTGAGAACGTTGAGGCCTCTTCTAAGGTACGCTGCACTTGTGAAGTGTTGACACTGCTGCTATCTGTGGTACCCGATGTCTGCGTTGATAGAAGGTCTTCTGTCAATATCTGCGCTGATATAGTTGCCGATGTAGCTGTTGAAGCAGGCTTCGTCTTCTTGCTGACGACTGTGACTTCAGGTATGAGGACGGGGGAATCATCATACACGTCTGCTTCTTCCGGAGGTACAATATCGGCAGTGAAGGATCTCGCCTTCTGCGTAGAGCTGTGAAGAGACTTCGACGAAGTCTTAGGAGCTGTAGACTTCTTCGTCTGCGCTGAAGAAGATCTCGTCTTCTTCGTCTGCGATGAGGACAGCTCCGTTGACGACGATTTCTTCTTATTCGAGACAGAGTTCATCACTGGAACAGCGACCTGCTCTCGTAAAACGCTCGGCAATTCACTGGAATTATGAACATCGGCAGCAGTAGTTAACACACGGTTATCAGCGCAATCACTTGATTTACCAGACATGACTTGTGAACACCTTCTTACCCAGTCCTTTGGACATCTATGAAGAAAAAGAAGGTAGTTATTAAATTTAAAAGTAGTTAGTTTCTGTCTTTCAGTGGCATTTAGAAGTTGTACATTGATGTCCAAGATATTTTTTATGGATTAAACTTCTTTTTTAATTTTAATTGAAAACAAAGTTTAATCCATAAAAAATATCTTGGACATAGTTAGTTTCTGACAATGTTTACAGCGAGAGCTGGAAGAACATGTAGTAGTGCAATCAGGACATAATATATGCGGGTCAGCCACAGACAGCCGGTACCTACAACGAATACAAGTTTTCATCCATTGTAAACCAGATGAAAAACATGGCAAACAACATTTGATAATATACAATCCAAAAACCGTATACAGCTGCCATTTAGATGTAAAAGGTCCAAAATAGTCCAGGTGCTCTCACAACCGTCCTCAAGGGCGAAGAAGGAGAGAGTGACAAACATGGCTGGTCATGTGACTGAAAAGGGCGCCAAAGGAGGCAAGGGAGACTACTCATGGGTGAGTGATGATTTTACGTCCGCTTTTTAGAAGGGAACTTCAAGAGATTTCAAGTGTTCCACTATCATTCGCAAGAGGAAGGAGTCAGGATAAGGAAAAATAATCATTATTGACATTGATCTTGGATAATCCCAATATCTTGTTTGACAGCCCTTTTACACATTCCAACAACTTCTCCAGCATTGACTGTCCCTTTACACATTCCAACAACAACCTCACCTGCATTGACTGACCCTTTACACATTCCAACAACAGCCTCACCTGCATTGACAGCCCATTTACACATTCCAACAACAGCCTCACCTGCATTGACTGTCCCTTACACATTCCAACAACAGCCTCACCTGCATTGACAGCCCTTTTACACATTCCAACAACAGCCTCACCTGCATTGACTGTCCCTTCACACATTCCAACAACAGCCTCACCTGCATTGACAGCCCATTTAGACATTCCAACAACAGCCTCACCTGCATTGACAGCCCATTTACACATTCCAACAACAACCTCACCTGCATTGACAGACCTTTTACACATTCCAACAACAACCTCACCTGCATTGACAGCCCATTTACACATTCCAACAACAGCCTCACCTGCATTGACAGCCCATTTACACATTCCAACAACCTCACCTGCATTGACAGACCATTTACACATTCCAACAACAACCTCACCTGCATTGACAGACCATTTACACATTCTAACAACAGCCTCACCTGCATTGACTGTCCCTTCACACATTCCAACAACAGCCTCACCTGCATTGACAGCCCATTTACACATTCCAACAACAACCTCACCTGCATTGACAGACCATTTACACATTCCAACAACAACCTCACCTGCATTGACAGACCATTTACACATTCCAACAACAACCTCACCTGCATTGACAGCCCATTTACACATTCTAACAACAGCCTCACCTGCATTGACTGTCCCTTCACACATTCCAACAACAGCCTCACCTGCATTGACAGCCCATTTACACATTCCAACAACAACCTCACCTGCATTGACAGACCATTTACACATTCCAACAACAACCTCACCTGCATTGACAGACCATTTACACATTCCAACAACAACCTCACCTGCATTGACAGACCATTTACACATTCTAACAACAACCTCACCTGCATTGACAGACCATTTACACATTCCAACAACAACCTCACCTGCATTGACAGACCATTTACACATTCTAACAACAACCTCACCTGCATTGACAGACCATTTACACATTCTAACAACAGCCTCACCTGCACTGATTGCCTCTTTACACATTCCAACAACAGCCTCGCCTGCATTGACAGCCCTTTACACATTTCACCAACAGCCTCACCTGCATTGACATCTTCCTTATACCTTCCAACAACAACTCAACTGCATTGACAGCTTCCTTACACATTCCAACAACAGCCTCACCTGCAATGACAGCCCTTTACATATTCCAACAACAACCTCACCTGCAATGACAGCCCTTTACACATTCCAACAACAACCTCAACTGCATTGACTGACCCTTTACACATTCCAACAACAGCCTCACCTGCATTGACAGCTTCTTTACACATTCCAACAACAGCCTCACCTGCATTGACAGCCCATTTACACATTCCAACAACAACCTCACCTGCATTGACAGACCTTTTACACATTCCAACAACAACCTCACCTGCATTGACAGCCCATTTACACATTCCAACAACAGCCTCACCTGCATTGACAGCCCATTTACACATTCCAACAACCTCACCTGCATTGACAGACCATTTACACATTCCAACAACAACCTCACCTGCATTGACAGACCATTTACACATTCTAACAACAGCCTCACCTGCATTGACTGTCCCTTCACACATTCCAACAACAGCCTCACCTGCATTGACAGCCCATTTACACATTCCAACAACAACCTCACCTGCATTGACTGTCCCTTCACACATTCCAACAACAGCCTCACCTGCATTGACAGACCATTTACACATTCCAACAACAACCTCACCTGCATTGACAGACCATTTACACATTCTAACAACAGCCTCACCTGCATTGACTGTCCCTTCACACATTCCAACAACAGCCTCACCTGCATTGACAGCCCATTTACACATTCCAACAACAACCTCACCTGCATTGACAGACCATTTACACATTCCAACAACAACCTCACCTGCATTGACAGACCATTTACACATTCCAACAACAACCTCACCTGCATTGACAGACCATTTACACATTCTAACAACAACCTCACCTGCATTGACAGACCATTTACACATTCCAACAACAACCTCACCTGCATTGACAGACCATTTACACATTCTAACAACAACCTCACCTGCATTGACAGACCATTTACACATTCTAACAACAGCCTCACCTGCACTGATTGCCTCTTTACACATTCCAACAACAGCCTCGCCTGCATTGACAGCCCTTTACACATTTCACCAACAGCCTCACCTGCATTGACATCTTCCTTATACCTTCCAACAACAACTCAACTGCATTGACAGCTTCCTTACACATTCCAACAACAGCCTCACCTGCAATGACAGCCCTTTACACATTCCAACAACAACCTCACCTGCAATGACAGCCCTTTACACATTCCAACAACAAACTCAACTGCATTGACTGACCCTTTACACATTCCAACAACAGCCTCACCTGCATTGACAGCTTCTTTACACATTCCAACAACAGCCTCACCTGCATTGATTGCCTCTTTACACATTCCAACAACAGCCTCACCTGCAATGACAGCCCTTTACACATTCCAGCAACAACCTCACCTGCATTGACTGTCCCTTTACACATTCCAACAACAACCTCACCTGCATTGACAGTCCTTTACACATTCCAACAACAACCTCAACTGCAATGACAGCCCATTTACACATTCTAACAACAGCCTCACCTGCATTGACAGCCTCTTTACACATTCCAACAATGATCTTGGAGAAGCCAGCTATCTTCTCAGCTGTCTTCACTGCTTCTGCTACCAGTTGGTCTGGAGGAAACACTCTACTCACAAGGCCTGCGTGGTTTATAAAGAAAGAAAGTATCTGTCATAATGTTGATGGGTGAAAGACTACAAGGACCAGATGACGCAGTGCAGCAGTTGATGGGTCACAAATTTACTTGGCAAATGAAAACTATGCCAATATGACAGGTTACTGCTAGCTACATGTGTAGAAGCACTAAGGGAGCTGCTGTGGTCACCTGCTTGCTCTGCCTCCTGTGCTGACATCATGTTCCCAGTCAACACCATCTCCATTGCCTTTGACTTGCCAATAGCTCGGATTAAGCGCTGTGTGCCGCCAGCTCCTACAATACATACAGGTTCCACTATACAGGTCACGCTAACAACTTCCAATGGCAACATTACTTATATCCTCAATGTTAACATTTCATGGTCAGTAAGAATCTCGAGGCAACAATGCTGAGTGCATCACGGTGAGCTTCTTACTTACCAGGGATTGTCCCCAGAATGATCTCTGGCTGACCAAACTTGGCTTTCTCTCCTGCATAGATGATGTCGCACATCATGGCGACCTCACAGCCTCCGCCCAGCTGCAAAAGGCAAACACTGTAACACTCTCAACATCTTATCAGATAATCAATTGATATATATGACCATTTCATGCAAAAAATTACTTGACATAAACTACACTCCCACATGTTTCAGTTTTATTTTCAAGGAGAAGTTTAGGACTGGTTGGCTGGTTTGTTGTTTAATGCTGCACTCAGCAATATCCCAGCTATATGGCGGCGGTCTGTAAATAATCGAGACTGGACCAGACAATCCAGTGATCAACATCATGAGCATCATTCTGCGCAGTTGGGATATGATGACATGTGTTAACCATGTCAGCGAGCCTGACCACCCGATCCGGTTAGTTGCCTCTTACAATGTCATTATGATGTCACATCCACACTGCGAGTACTTCCAATAAAGCATCTTTGGTCAAACCAATCAATTTGACAACCATTCTAACCCTCTAAATCTTTTTATCAAATGACAAATATCAGTAGAACATATCAAAATGAACAGAAATGAACTTAACAATGTATTAATGCATCAAGAATACAACACAATATATCAGGTGTCTATCATGAATGAATATACAAATGTCACCACTGTAACAGAAACACGAGCATGATTTCCACAGCACGTACAGCATATCCATTGACTGCAGCTAGGATAGGCTTTGTGAAGTTGGCTATACTGTCTGCCTCTCCAGGAAAATATGTACTTGTTACTTCTAAACATGACTTAACACTCATTTCTTCTATGTCTGCACCCACTGGAAGTGAAAAGACAGCATATACAAGTAGGCTGAGTACCATACATACTCTACTGACTGGACACCAGGCACACATGGTGCAGCTGACCACACCACAGAAAAACGTTCCATTTCTCATCTCATGCAATTATGACATTTGATTGTTCTTGAAGCATCCTTCCCAGCATTTCTAGAAAAGGAATCATGAGGCGTCATGTTGAGTACGGTGTTTGACACAGTAGGAGGGAATCAGGAGGCGTTGTGTTGAGTGCAGTGTTTGACACAGTAGGAGGAAATCAGGAGGCGTTGTGTTGAGTGCAGTGTTTGAGACAGTAGGAGGGAATCATGAGGCGTTGTGTTGAGTGCAGTGTTTGACACGGTAGGAGGGAATCATGAGGCGTTGTGTTGAGTGCAGTGTTTGACACAGTAGGAGGAAATCAGGAGGCGTTGTGTTGAGTGCAGTGTTTGACACAGTAGGAGGAAATCAGGAGGCGTTGTGTTGAGTGCAGTGTTTGACACAGTAGGAGGAAATCAGGAGGCGTTGTGTTGAGTGCAGTGTTTGACACAGTAGGAGGGAATCATGAGGCGTTGTGTTGAGTGCAGTGTTTGACACGGTAGGAGGGAATCATGAGGCGTTGTGTTGAGTGCAGTGTTTGAGACAGTAGGAGGGAATCATGAGGCGTTGTGTTGAGTACAGTGTTTGACACAGTAGGAGGGAATCATGAGGCGTTGTGTTGAGTACAGTGTTTGACACAGTAGGAGGGAATCATGAGGCGTTGTGTTGAGTACAGTGTTTGACACAGTAGGAGGGAATCAGGAGGCGTTGTGTTGAGTGCAGTGTTTGACACAGTAGGAGGGAATCAGGAGGCGTTGTGTTGAGTACGGTGTTTGACACAGTAGGAGGGAATCAGGAGGCGTTGTGTTGAGGTGTTGTGATGAGTGCTGTGTTTGACATGGTTGGAAGGAATCATGAGGTGTTGTGATGAGTGCCGTGTTTGACATAGTAGCAAGGAATCATGGGGCATTGAGTTGAGTGTGGTGTTTGACACAGTAGGAGGGAATCATGAGATGTTGTGATGAGTGCCGTGTTTGACATGGTTGGAAGGAATCATGAGGTGTGATGAATGCCGTGTTTGACATGGTAGCAAGGAATCGTGGGGCATTGAGTTGAGTGTGGTGTTTGACATGGTTGGAAGGAATCATGAGGTGTGATGAATGCCGTGTTTGACATGGTAGCAAGGAATCATGAGGCGTTGTGTTGAGTGCAGTGTTTGACACGGTAGGAGGGAATCATGAGGCGTTGTGTTGAGTGCAGTGTTTGACACAGTAGGAGGGAATCATGAGGCGTTGTGTTGAGTGCAGTGTTTGACACAGTAGGAGGGAATCAGGAGGCGTTGTGTTGAGTGCAGAGTTTGACACAGTAGGAGGGAATCATGAGGCGTTGTGTTGAGTGCAGTGTTTGACACAGTAGGAGGGAATCATGAGGCGTTGTGTTGAGTGCAGTGTTTGACACAGTAGGAGGGAATCATGAGGCGTTGTGTTGAGTACAGTGTTTGACACAGTAGGAGGGAATCATGAGGCGTTGTGCTGAGTACGGTGTTTGACACAGTAGGAGGGAATCATGAGGCGTTGTGTTGAGTACGGTGTTTGACACGGTAGGAGGGAATCATGAGGCGTTGTGTTGAGGTGTTGTGATGAGTGCTGTGTTTGACATGGTTGGAAGGAATCATGAGGTGTTGTGATGAGTGCCGTGTTTGACATAGTAGCAAGGAATCATGGGGCATTGAGTTGAGTGTGGTGTTTGACACGGTAGGAGGGAATCATGAGGTGTTGTGATGAGTGCCGTGTTTGACATGGTTGGAAGGAATCATGAGGTGTTGTGATGAGTGCCCTGTTTGACATGGTAGCAAGGAATCATGAGGCATTGAGTTGAGTGTGGTGTTTGACATGGTAGCAAGGAATCATGAGGTGTTGTGATGAGTGCCGTGTTTGACATGGTTGGAAGGAATCATGAGGTGTGATGAATGCCGTGTTTGACATGGTAGCAAAGAATCATGGGGCATTGAGTTGAGTGTGGTGTTTGACATGGTTGGAAGGAATCATGAGGTGTGATGAATGCCGTGTTTGACATGGTTGGAAGGAATCATGGGGCATTGAGTTAAGTGTGGTGTTTGACACAGTAGGAGGGAATCATGGGGTGTTGTGATGAGTGCCCTGTTTGACATGGTAGCAAGGAATCATGGGGCATTGAGTTGAGTGTGGTGTTTGACACGGTAGGAGGGATTCATGGGGTGTTGTGATGAGTGCCGTGTTTGACACGGTAGGTGGGAATCATGGGGTGTTGTGATGAGTGCCATGTTTGACATGATAGGAGGGAATCATGGGGTGTTGTGATGAGCGCCGTGTTTGACATGGTAGCAAGGAATCATGGGGCATTGAGTTGAGTGTGGTGTTTTGACACGGAATTAGGGAATCATGGGGCATCACAATTTCACACAGATAGACGTGCATTAAGAGATTAACCAGCAGTGTTGGTATTCTTAGTACTGTATAAAGTCAGTCTTAAAATTGACTTGCATGTCTGACAGAGGATAATGTTATGACGGAAGAGCGGGCTTCACACAGTCTGGTTTGGAACAGTTATGTTGAAACTTCAAAATTTCTTAACTGCATACAAAACTGCAGTTTGTCATGAAACATGTCCAGAACCCATGTGATGAATATTGTCCAAAATGTTCAAGTTACCATGGTTACTATGATGGGAAAAAGCTACAAAGTCCAAAGTTCACATCATCTCTGGGTTGCCTATGAAGGAAGGACACTCATGAAACATCTAGGAATCACTACCTGTCTTCCATAACAAAAGGTATGAGTTTCTATATGTGGTCAGTGCACTAAGCTTGGCCTTTGTAATAATGTAAACAGGGATGGGGTAAATGTTTCATACAGCAAATCCATTGACAGCAGCTATCACAGGCTTGGTAAAGTCAGTTAGTCTTGTCCATTGATTGAGGAAGTTCCCGCTGAACACCTGAGCAAACTGTTGGCCCTGCATCTCCTTGATGTCTGCCCCGGCTGAAACATGACATGGTTATTCATGCAAGGTTGTCACCGTGTATTCAGTGACATGGATTTAGTGAGTGGAGGACCTATACAGGTAGAACCACCATAGTCAGCAGTACTTCAGCCACATTTTGGTGAAATTTTAGGCACTTGCAACCTAGTCACTCTGTGCAAACAAACACATTTGACTTTTTCTATGTTTAACCATTTTTAGAACAGTGCTCATTATCCTGCCTGAAAAACACTCATGCAGGGAGTGTTATTAAATCATACATATCAGTGTGTCTGTTGCTTGAACAAACACTGTTATGTAACGAAAGTCTGTAAATAATTCAGTCTGGACCTGACAATCCAGTGATTCACTTGAAGACATGCAGGAACAAATTCATCAATACTGACAACCCGATCCCAACAGTTGTCTCCTACGACATGGGTTACATGGGTTGTAAAACATGTCAAATTCATTCAGTGATTGCTGGAAGATTTGCTCATATAAGTTACTGTCAAACCTCACAAAGGTCACAATACTACTCATGCCCAAAACTGGAGACAATCTGATCATCCTAATATTGAGCTGTAGAGGTATCAAGACGTTTAACTGGAAACTTTCAACAAAGTATATGACTCAGGCTTCACCATCTATCTATTTCATCTGTCTGAGAAGGTTATTCCCAAATCTGATTCAGTTTGCACTTAGTTTGCAGCTGACATGTACATTGTTTTTCCCTAACCCGATAAAGATGTGACAGATGAAACAAAAGACTAATGTGACAATCATCCACCATGTTATACACAGTACCTGCAAATGCCCTCTCACTGCCAGTGAGGACTACGCATCCCACATCACGGTCCTTCTCAAACTGGTCCAGGGCTACACTCACTTCCTTCATCAGGCCGTCACAGAGAGCATTGAGAGCCTTAGGCCTGTTCAGCTGTATCATACCAACATTGTTCTTCTCCCCTTTCTTGTCCACAATAATGTATTCAAAGTTTCCTGTAAGAGTGACAGTATTCCACATCAAGTCAGGATGAAGATGAAACACTGTATGTTACATATATTGCTACTGCAGGTAGTACATTAGGAGCAAACGTTGGAAGAATCACAAAATGTACACCTGTTGAAAATGTTCAACCGTTCTCAGCTAGTTCATCATGAAGCAGACTGAATGTACAGTCCGCACTGATTCACGGACAGTTGTTTTGAAATCATGCTCAAGTGTTTGACTGTCAACGTGACCACCTTTTGTTTCTGAAGCCATGGCAACCATGGTTGGTCTTCCAACTGTATGAATGGCAATGATACAAGATACCATTGTCTCTTTAGCTCGTTAACATGAGCAATAATGTCTGACTTGCTTCGACCATTCACGGGGAATAGAATTCTCTACATTAGCAAACTGCCAACTAAAACACATGCCTTCAGTGGTCTTGATGAACATTAACATCTAATTCTATAAACAAACTGACACATCATCATGGGACAAACATACATGTCTTAGTACCGCTTCCTCAGCCAAATATGCAGTTTGAGATAATTTGAGAATATGGTCAAAGCATGGATGGCCAAATAACAAATGTCCCAGAAAGAACAACAGATGTATTGAAAGTAAAATAACGACAAACAATATTATTTTTTATGGTCATGCATAGATTTTTCAACGTATTGGTCGAATTGAGGTCAAAATATACAATATCACCAAAACATAACAGAAAAGTAATATGGTACCAATATGTTGAGCCCCAATGCTAACTACACATATTTCATTTATAATGATTTGAACAAAATGAAATTTTTTGAGTAAAATTAATATTTTATACTTATCCTGACTCATGCTTATTGCTTGTCTTCTTCTTCTTGCGAACATAGTGGAACACGTGTATCTCCCAATTGAAGTTCCCTTCAATAAAAAATCACTAATTAGTACTCACCACGAGTTACCTCCCTTCCACAAGCTCGGGAACGAGGGCGCCACCTCAACCCATGGGCCTCACTCTCTCCTTTTTGTTTCGAGCCCGACACTTTATTTTTCCGAAGAAATCCAAAGTGTTAAGTGGGGAGGACTCATGCTTATTGCTTGTAGAATCCGACGGAAAATGGGGGTGGGAATATATATACTTTGGATTTTAATAATTAGTGATTTGAACTGTGATGATTGTAATAACCCTATGGGAACTTCATAAAGGCACTGAACTGATGAATTCCTGCTGCTTAACTTATCAGCTGCCATATAAAGGTTATTACAATTTAGTGAATATGATAAAAGTATATGCAACATTAATGTAAGCTGAAGCTATTAATGTGATAGTATAAACTTCTGTGAGTTTATAGTGGATACTTTTATAAATGAACCAAAGTATTAAGCTTAAGATATGCATATATTTAAGCTATAATAGTATAGTACTGTGCTTAAGATAACTTAAGCTGTATAATAGTAACCAACTCCTTAGAGTTTGTTAGCTAATACATTTATGAATATGATTATATGACTGAGCTTAAGGATTGATGAAACTTAAGCTGAAAATATATATAATAGCAAAACTCCTAGGAGTTGTAAGCTTATATATAGTATGATATAAAAACCATAGTACTGAGCTTAAGATAATAAATTAAACTTAAGCAAATTATATAGATAGCATGTAGCTATTAGTACTGTTATCAGATAAGTATAAAATCTGTAAGATAGACTTATCTTCTCCGTGGAACTGTCAACTGTTGAGCGAGGACCATGGGACCGAAATGGTGGATACCTGAGACGTCCTCGGTGGTGATATCTCTCAGATAGTGGTTGGCAAACACCATATCGGATCTCCAGAAACATCCCTCCATTATGGTATTCAACGAGCAATTCCCATGTAGAGCGAGAGTTGAGGCTAGCGCTCTAATTTCGTGAGGATTAGAAGCTCTTGGAGGGTCGAGTCCTGCAGCCTTGTAGGCACGTAGTATGACAGTTCTGATCCAGATAGAGATAGTAGTATGTGAGACTTCCATCTGCGTAGCTGTAGATATATGGATAAATAATCTCTTGAATTTCCCTCTGCTCTGTTTGGATCGTTGGAGATATATTTTCAGTGCTCTTACTGGGCATAGTGATAGATCCATCGTATCATGCGGTCCAAGTATGGATGAGAGAGCTGGGACGTGGAATAATCTGTCTGGTTGACCTGGCAGTTGGTTTTTCGCTATAAAATCCCAGCCGGTCCCAGATGAGCGATGTTATGAATATCATCAAAGCGTGTTCTCTCAGAATCCAGTGCGTGAATCTCTGACATCCTGGCGGCCGTAGCTAGTGCTAACAGGAACAAGGTTTTGTGGGTCAGTGATTCAAACGATGTAGATAGCAATGGTTCATAAGCCTCACTAGTGAGGTGTTGGAGCACTATATTTAGATCCCAGGCTGGAGCGCGAAACTTCCGCTTCTGATCCTCCAATCGAACGCCGTAACAAACCCGAGTAACTCTGGTGTTTTTGTTAACTTGGCCCGCTCTCATAGTTATGACAGAACTTATAGCTGCAAGATAAGTGGACAAGGTTGAGCCTTTTAGATTCTTAGTTTGACGTAGATAACATAAGAAATCTGCCACTTGAGGATGTGTAGCATATCTGGCTGTAAATCCTTTCTTAGCAGCATAATTGACAAAACTGTGCCATTTGTCATCGTGATAAGTTACGAAGTTGAGTTACGTAGTGCAAGCGTGACCGCTTTAGCCGCTCTGGCAGAATAACCTCTCTTATTCAGACATGCCTTGATACAATCCATACGCGGAAGTTGGAATGCTTCTGGTGTTTCATGCACTTGTTTGGTGTGCGGATGTATCAATAGATTGGCTGCTAGGGGAGCTGAAGAATTGGTTTTCCGATTTCTTGAATGAGATCTGAAACCAAGTTCTCGCTGGCCAGTAGGGCCACCAAAATCAGATGGAGGCTCTGCGCTTGACTGATTTTCTGTAAGACTTGTGGGATTAACGCTGGAGGCGGAAAGCTGCACGCTGAGTCTCTCCCACGATATGCTTAGTGCGCCTGTTGCCCATGCTTGTGGGTCTGGAACTGGCGATACGAATGTTGTCAGTTGCTTGTTGAATCGAGTGGCGAATAGGTCTATCAGAGGAGATCCTATTTCCATGATTATTTGATTGAATATCTCTGTGTGGAGCATCCATTCTGTCGGCGACGGTTGGTGTGGCCGAGAGAGAGCGTCTGCTAATACATTCTTTGCTCCTCGAATGTGGCAAGCTCTTACATGTATGTTTAGATTGTCGAATAGATCGAACAGTCTGAAACATCAAGTCAGTAGGTTCTGTGACCTTGTTGAACCTTGTTTGTGCACATAAAACGCCACTGTTGAATTGTCTGTATGAACCATCAACTGAGCGTTCTGTAGTAGGTTGCTCCAGTGACTTATGGCGTTTATGACTGCTTGCATCTCTAGCAGATTTATGTGACATTTGCTCTCTTGATTGCTCCATAGGCCTGACGCTGTCCTGCCGGCAAGGTGGGCTCCCCAACCTTGTAGTGACGCGTCTACGTAGAGATGTGTTTTCGATTCCGGCTCTACTAAGGAGACGCCTGCGCAAACATTCAATGTCTTGGTCCACCAGAGTAGATGTGGTTTGACATAATCTGGTAGACTGAATGGTAGAGGGTCCTCGAGATGAGCATTGATGAGGACTTGTAACGGACGTTAATTGAAGCCTGCCTCTGACTGTCAAGTCTTGAGCTGATGTGAGTAGTCCCAATAGGCTCTGCCACTGTCGTAGTGGTAACGGAGAGAGTAGGGCTTGAGGAATAAGTTGTTGGATCTTGATCCATCTGTCCTCCGGGACTACAATACGATTCTGAGCTGTTAGAAATCGTATACCTAGAAATTGCAGATCTTGCGTTGGTTCTAGGTCCGACTTGAGTAGATTTACTAACCATCCTAATTGAGTTAGTAGCTTGATTATAAAGTTCACCTGTAGTCTGAGACGCTGTGGATCTGGATCCACTTGTATACCGTCGTCTAGGTAAAAAGCGCTGCGAATACCTTGACGATGTAGGTATGAGACAATAGGCTTGGTCACTCTTGTGAATACCCAAAGGGCCGATGTGATTCCGAAGGGAAGAACCTTCCATTGGTAATGTTTCCCGTCTAGGATAAATCTTAGATATTTCCTTGAGTTGGGATGAATCGGAATGTGTAGATATGCTTCTTGCAAATCTATGCTGGCCATGTAATCTTTGGGACGAATTAAATGCCGAAGTTGCGGTAAGTGTATCATGCGAAACGTTAGTGGTTTGCATAGATATTCTCTGTTGAAGATGCTCATGTTGTATATGAGACGAAACTTCTCCTTGGAATTTTTCTTCGGCACTAGGAAAACTGGGGAGTAGAAACCTGGTACGATGTTTCGTTGATCCAGAACTTCTAAGGCCTGTTTGTTTAGCAGATTAGCTACTGTTTCTCTTAACATAGGTAGTTGTGCCGGTTGAACGTTGAACCCTGTGGGGGTGACTGTTAACGGAGGCTTGGCCTTGAGTTGTATTAGATATCCGTGCTGTAGGATGTTGGATACATATGGATCTTGTAGTATTCCCCAGTTTTCCCAGTGCAGCTGAAGGCGTCCACCCACTTGAGAGGGTTGTACTGGAACGGCAGGGGGTGGAAGAATCCAGCCGTTCCGAACCTGAATTTCATCGTCTAAATCCACGGGCACCTCTGGATGATCTGTCTCCAGGTGATCCTCCCCTAAATTTGCTGTATGGGCGACAAAAAGAATCCTTGGGATCTTTAGCTGCAGCTAATTTCTTGTCCCGTGCTTTCTGTAGCCCCGAAAACTTAGACTTGCCCGAGCATCTCTGTGCTGACTGTTTAATGACGTTCGCTAAGGTATCCATGGATCTGATCATGAGTAGCTCTCTCGAGTCTTTAGATACTTCTTTGGAGACCTTGTCTATGTTGCCACCAAACAGTAAGCACGATGACCATGGAGCTGTGTATAGAGATTCTGTGAATTGCT